CTTAAGAACTCCACCATTAACATACCAGTAAATCACTAGCACAGTTTAGTTAAGGTTACAGGGCATTATTACTGCTTCATACAACCTGGAAGTGAACACTACTAAGCTAAGTGGTGCATCTCTCTGACTGAACTGGTAAATTAAGATTCTGTGGACCTGGACTGAACTACAGCTTTCCTTATTCCATTCAGTATGGCTATTGGAAGGACAGATCCTGAAGCTGAGGCTCCAGTACTTTGGCCATCTCGTGAGAAGAGAAGACTCCTTGGAAAAGACTTTGATGTTGGGAAAGTGTGAAGGCAAGAGGAGAAGGGGACGACCGAGGATGAGATGGTTGGACAGTGTCATCGAAGCAACCAACATGAATTTGACACAACTCCGGGAGGCGGTGGAAGATAGGAGGGCCTGGCATGCTCTGGTCCATGGGGTCACGAAGAGTCGGACACGACTAAACGACTGAACACACACACACAGCTGTGAATGATAGGAACTGTAATCCAGCATATCTGGAAGCCACCGCACTGAAGGAGGCTGAGATTGTGAAATTCCTTTTAAAAATGTAATTTTTGCTTTCAAACTGCTAGGTGGGCAGGAGCTGGGACAAGCGACAGGAGCTCACCCCGTAGTGCAGATTCGAACTGCCGACCTTTCCATCGACAGCCCAGTGGCTCAGCGGTTTAAAGAAACACCAATTTTATGTAGAGACATTTTGTGCAAATTGGAGGGATCTGGATGAGAGGAGGGAAAGTGCTGAAGGCAAGAAGTCTTGCTCTCAAATTGATGATTGAGGCATCTAGCCTGAACTGAGGAGAATGAGGAATTTAGATATAGTATCTTTAAGAATTCAGTTGATCCTTACACAGTGGCAATGGGGGGTGGAGCTGTGAGCTATCCTGGAGCCAAAGTTTGGAAAGAGAGGAGATTTATATTTCTCTGTTTAACCCATTGCTCTACTCGAGGCCTGTTTTAGACTCCTCCACATGTCCACAGAAAGCTGCCATTGTTGACAACAAGTGCATAATGGTTTTGCACGGTTTTGCAGGGTGTTGTTTAGTAAATACTACATGTGAACAAATGGTATATTTCACAACAAATCTGCTTTGGCCTTCCAAGTGAGAACTGAGGTAGAATAAAGCTGAGAGATATACAAGCATGCTTTTATTCCATCTTAGACAGTGTGAAGTCTCAAATGAGGTCCATGCCATGGCCAGATATGGGGCAAAAAGGAAGGATTTGAGATGGCAGTTTAAACCAACAAAGAAAGCAATGACGAAGAAAGAAACTGGATGTCCGTGTTTTCTTTTCTATAAAAGTGTTTAAACTTTAAACTGAAAGGGAGGCCTTAGATCCATTTCTCTTAAGTCTGTACATGTGTTGAGTTAATAAGTATTCCAGAAGGCAGGTGTATTAAATAACTTGTTTATACATCCATGCACAATGGGGCAAAACTGAAAACAACCAAACTTCCATGTTCACTTCCACGTTGGAATCAAGTACATTCAGTACTCTGTAGCGCTGATAATCATTTGTTTTTATGTCGTTTCTGGAATGGGTACAATTTGTTGTGCTTTGCTGACGTCATGCTGCTTGGAACCCTTTCAGCCTGAAAGCTTGTAGGACTCAAGAGTGATGCAGAGGCACCAAACCCTCATGCCTAGTGTACCTGGAAGTCTTGCAAATCTTTACATATTCAGCCTGAAGATCTTGCATGGGTACTTTAAGCAGGCTCAGCTGAGCTTACAGTGTTACTGCAACCCTGATGAAGTTGGGTGTCTGGCAACGGAAATGCTGTAAGCATGGTCAGATGAACACACTTACAGCACGTATGCAAACTGTCCATGTAGCGGTCTGCAAGAATTCTGGGTGAGGGTAAGGATGTGGAGGGAGAGGGTTTACTTGCATCTTCACATCACTCTCAACCGCTGAGCCCTACGCGTTTGGATGCTGAATGTCTGGAGAGACGTACTAAGAAACCATGATATGATGTACTACCGCATGTCATGGCTAGGGCTTGCAATTTTTGATTCGTCCTAAGACAACCTTAGGGAGTTGTTCATTCCCTTCACTCATGGAGATTTCAACTCGTCAGGAGGATGAATCGAAGTCTCAAATAGAACTAGGAGTATTCAGTGGAATGGTTTTGAAGACAGGGATTTACCAAAATATTTGTTGGTAATAGATTCCATACATCTGCTGCAGACAACTGTCGATTCCGTGTCCTTTAAAAAAAAAGCAGCAAGCAATATAGTGCCAAAGTGGTTTAGCGGTATATCAGTATAGCGTGAAATATGAACTGAGAAAAATCATTTCACTTAAAACCACGGATTTTTCAAGATGTGGATTTGCCATTTTTTTGTTGTATGTGTATTGCATGCTTCTTTTTCATGTAGCTCTTGATTCAACCCCCTTTTCTAATAAATAATTTAGTCCCAGTAGTCACTCGGCAATAGGCAGTTGTACCAAAGTTCTTGAGGGAAAGGAAGAGTTTCGTATGGCATCGGGAGCAAGGAAGGGCAGAGGAAAACTTCCATGAATCGGCAGAACTATTCATCGGTTTGGTGCACCGCAGCAGTCAAGACAACGAAAGAAACAGAAACAAGACCGGCACCACATAAATCTATTTATGCAGCTTTACATAAAAGCTGGCTGCAGCTCTGAGCCTCTTAGCAGGCTGGAACAAAATGAAAAAGGAACGGAGGATGACCTTCCCTGTTAAAGACAAAGAATCTCAGCTGGCCAAATAATAATAATAAAAAGAAAATGAATTACTGTTGCATGGAAGGAGTGACAAGGGAATGACAAGTGTCTAGAATTATAAGCAATGCAAAGGAATTAATAAGGATGTTGAATTGTCCCAGTTTGCAAGGGATTAGTGCTTAGAAAAAAAATGCATTGCACTGCTGAAAAGCATATTTAATGTCTTAACAGTTTAAAAATACTGACTGGATACCTGTAGTTTAGAGAGAGGTTGAGCGGTTGATTCCCCACTGTGCATTCCAGAAGAGCCAACCTGGGTAGCCTTGGGCAAGCTGCAGAATCCCTGGATGACCTCAGAAGAAGGGAATTGTAGACCACTTCTGAGTATTCTCTGCCGGAAAGGGTCCCCTGAAGTCAGAATTAACTTAGTACACAATGATGATGATGATGACTTAAAAGATTTTACAAATAAAAAACACATACCAAATGCAAGAGTAAGTTTATTTTCATTAATAATCATCAGCCCCAAAGTGCATTAATATAGTTGATAGAACTTTAAAAGCCGCCTTTAAAAAAATTGAAGTTAAAACTGGATTTTTCCAGGTATTTAAAAACCTTTCTCTCCGTACATAGTAAAACCACAACTGAGCAAGTCTGCCATTTTATACAAACTGCAAGCATGTGCTTTTAGTCTTAACAGTCCCTGCCTGACATAAAGTTTTTCCAACTTTTTAACCACATCCCTGAAGTGCACTTGAACACTATGGTCATTGTGTGTGTTTCCTTTGTCATAACACAATGAGCAAAATGTTCACGGAATCTTGTGAAATCCAGGGTCTGGTTTTTCACAGTCTGAAGCTTAATTTAAGGCCTGTTTATGCAGCAGAAGTTCTCCTCACAAAAGCAGCAAAGAGTTAACCATGCATACGATAAACGCCTTTAAGGCTCCAAGGCACACACCCGTGCAAGATGAGGGGCAGGATATAGAAGAAAGCAGTATTCACATATAGTGTAATGCACGCATAGGATAGGATACATAATATATGTAGAAAATACATTTAGGAAGGCCAAAAGCGTCCGTTACACATATGAATCACTACAATACTACATAAGGTGATACACAATACAATATGGTAATATACTTGCAATATAATGTCAGAGAAATTATATTAAACTGACTGACTACGAATTGTAATTAATACAGCCAGTTCTTTATGTACTTTGTGCATGTATATTACATGAGGATTCAGCGAGGGCCTACTATCACTAGGAGGAGGCCTGTTTGCAGCCCCAACCCTCCCCAGGCTGGGCTGGCAGAACCCCCACCCCCCACCCCAAGCATGCCCTTCCTCCTCCCCATTTCCGTCCGCCTTTTCTCCCCAGGTGAAAAAACGCATTCACACACACACACGCATGCACAGTTTTTTAAAAATTATAATGCAGTACTATAAACTACACAAGATCCGTTCCGATTGTTGGGTGGTCTTGGGGGAGGCTTTCTCTAGCTTTCGTGCAGCCTTGTAAGAAAGTCCTTCTCCGGCGGGGGGGGGGGGCTTGTGGTGAAGGCGGGGGAGAAGACAAGGAGGCCCATCTTGATCTTCATTAACAATACTTTTATTACAAACAGCACCCAATTCACAAGGATGGATCAAACGGATCCTGCAACAAGTGATCTGGCAACAGGCTATATTTCTTTGGACAAACAACTGGGGTAGTAGCTTGATTCCCTAACAGGGAGCCGGCCCAAACTTCTCGCGGTCTGTCATCTGTCGTAAGGGCGCGCTCCTCATGGCACACACCGTGCCGCAGCACGGGTGGCGGGCCCAATCGCCCTCCAAGGGCCTCTTCTGGAACTCCGGCCCAGGTTGAATCACCCGCCGCCCGCCTCCAGGATAATTCAGGGGGAAAACTGATACCTTCCATTCTAGAGGTTCGATAACTCTGCCTCTGACCCCCGCGGGCAATGGATCTGGGAGCAGTCCACCTCCAGTCATTAGGTTAGGGAATCCCGATGTCACCTCTGTTAACGGACCTTGGCCGAGAATGGGTTCAGTTTGTACCCCTCTATGCCTTGGTCGGTCTGGGTTTAGGTCCGTCCACGTTCTAAAATCCCGCGCGCTTTTTTCCTCCTTTATATCTTCCCACATAATTAAGTCCAACTCCTCCCCTCCTTCCTCCACAAGACACACTTCCGCAGCCCTTTCAGTCACCACCTCAGTCTGATCCAATTCTATCAACACCCCTTCCACACATCCTCCTTCCTCTATGTCTTCTTTCTTAGTAGAGGATGGCGCACTCCCTTGAGCTCCTTCACAGGCCTCTAATCTTGGGAAATCGGTGCTGACGCTCCCGGCAACCCTGGCGTGATGTTACTCGGGTGAGGCTGAGATAAAAAGATATGGTTAATATAATGATAAATCAATATTTAAAACTTACTACGAAGGTGTTCAAACTTACCTGATTATTCATGGCTCTTTCTTCTCTTAGTGTTGAAGCACAGCAGTAAAAGAGATATATATTGGTCACCCTCTGGAATATGGCATATAATCAGGAACGGAGCTGGGGCTGACCTTGATTCAATTGTTGGCGAGGGTGGGGTCCCTTCACCCCATGGACGTGACTGGAAATTTCATCCACTCTGAAAACACTGTGCTCAAGACTGACCACGTCCATTTTGTTAGCTGTTGTAAAAAAGTGAGAGACACCTGCTGTTTAGTCAGTGGGGCGATTATTACACAAGGTGTGACATCACAAAAGAACTGACACTCAGTGCAATGATCATGTATTATTGAAGAGCCATAACGCTTAACTGAACAGGCAGATTTATGGCTACGTTGTCATAACTTGATTGCCATCTTCATTTTTCGAGATGTTAACCTCAAAAATGGTTTTCTTCAGTTTGTCTGTAATAATGATGAAGCCCTTATCCTACTTCTAAACCAAAGTAATAAAGCCTTCATTTTCTGTAGCATCTCGTTGATGGGTTCAGTTTTCAACCCCCTCCCCTTTCCCAACTACTGGTAGTTCTTGAATCTTGATGTCCATGCACAAATGAAAAAAGGCAATCAATTTTTTTTGGAACTTTGCTTTTCACTTTCACTTCTAACTGTGCTTGCAATTCTCTTTCTATTGCTTCAGTCACCTAGGACTTTCTTTTCCCCCTTTTGCTTTTCCCTCTTTAGCTCTGTCTTTGTAGATCCCTTTCCTTCTGCCCAGCCTGATCAACCCCCCTGACATCTCCCCCCCACCCTTCCAATAAAAGTGCCATAAACCTGTAACATGGATTGACTACTTTGATGAAGGTTGACATCACTATGTGAGAAACAGCGGAAACAAGTGCAACAAGGAATCGCATGAAGAGTCTTCTCTTGTTCATGATTCTCTGCGCTGATTGCCAGCAGGTTTTCAGTATTTCAGGGAGTCTTTCCCAGCTGGAGATGCTGGATACTGAACTTGGAAACAGCAATAAATGAGAGTCTGCAGCTGAATTTCAGGTTTTTTGTTTTGTTTTGCTTTTTTAGTTTTCCGAAGTTGTACTGTAGTCTTTTGCTTGAGATCAGGGGACTAGATCTATGGCAGGAAAAAAAAAACAGAAGAAGATTTGCAATTTAGGATTAGAAACATATTCAGCTGTGGGCAGCTTCCAGAGGTATGAGGGCAGTGTGTAGCTGCTGCCGGAATTTGGAGAGCCACACCGACTCCTGTGTTCCCCAATACTATTATTTATTTATTTATTTATTTATTTATTTATTCCTTCCTTCTTTCCTTCATTGAATTTACATACCACCCCATACTGCAAAGCACACTCTGGGCAGTCCATAGCATAAGCATACAAACAATACAGCACAATACATTGACTGATTTTGCTTGATGGTATTTATCTGTCCTCAAAACTAAACCAGCCAAACTCATTTCCAGATAGCAGGTAGAATGAGTAGGTATTTTGTGAGGAGATGTTCTGACACAAATCTTTTTTTTTTAATTTTAAAATGAAACAGCCCCCTTCCACCATCTAGTAGCAAAAAAATGTGAGGGTGTAGAGAGTGCTGGGATAAAGAAATACATGGCAAATTGCTCCTTCTGAGGGTAGATGGAGTTTCTTAAAAAGGGGGGGAAGAACCTTTTCCAAACCATGGACCAGTTGGGGGGGCACTCATGTGTTGGTGAGCGGGCAACCCATACATGCACACGTGGGTGGGCAGGACACCCGTGTATGCAGGGGGAGGTGTGTGTGCTTGGGGGGTGTTCGTGCGGGAGTGGCAGGAGATCGGTCTCCACAGCCCAGTCGTGTCTTCCTCCGCTTTAAAAATCGGTGCTCTCGGGGAGGGGGAAAAGAAGATGGGTCATGGGGAGAGGAAGTACTCTATCGCGGCGGCGGCGGGGCGATCTGTCTGCTCTGCTCTGTCTGCACTGCCTCCCTGTCCCTTTCTCCCTGCCTCTCCAGGCTGGCTGCAGAACTACTGGGTGCAGCAAGAGGCAGGCGCGCGCGCTCCCTGCCCTCCCCGGGACTGACTGGC